CCGCGTCAGCCAAAACATGTCTTACCTTGATGATTGCGATGCCCTCGCGAAGCACTCTCTTATTTGTAGCAGCGTATAGCGATACTAGAAAACAAGCCAAGGCGGCTGCACCCAGGCCAACAGGCATGAGGCGCTTCCAGGGATACACGCGGGGCTTCATGGCTAATGCGAGTTGAAAGCTGGGAACTTGAGTCATGGGAACAGAGCAGGTGTGTCAAGATCAATACATGGCCCAGTATCTACTGGGCCGAGAGTTTGATTATATATTGAGGCTACAGCCCAAAATTTGGTTTGTATCTTAAACGCCCTGGAAAAGACATATATTGAGCATGGGGACCTAGAGCAGCATGCATCTTCGAATCGGGACGAGTACGTAAGTCCTTCCTGTGACTAAAGGGGGGGGGGGGGTCAGAATTCTGGCCTTTCACTACGAAAGCGAGGCTGCCAAGAACTTACTGAGCTTCCTACGCGCCCTGTAGCTCTCATCACTGTAAGTGTTAAGCAACTCTATTCGACGGATCGAAGCAGCAGCCTTGTCCGTCCCAGTTCGACCTGTCTCCGGGACTCGCGCCACTCGCGCCTTCTAGGTCTGCTGGCTATGCCTGTATAGTGTATGTCTCCTGAGAGCGACCATGCATGTCGGTCACGATCCGCTCTAGGCTGTTACACCATCCTTGCAGGAGATACACCATAGATATATCGCTCAGTAAGATTATGACCTAACCACGGCTCAGCATGATGGCACTGTGAACTATTCTATGACAGTTGCCTCTTAGCGAGGAAACCAGCGTGACAGGTGTTAATGACGGCGAAAGCGCTCATTGAGGAGGCTCGTAATAGTCCTGTCATGTAGATCTTATCCCTCGACCAATATGGCCCAGAGCTCCCACCAAGATAGTATCGCTAGACACGAAGTCGATATACTTCAAGAGAGGACTGCCAAGTTCCTAGGAAAGGCAAGAGTCTTGCTTGATTCTCTACAGTTTCCGAAACAAGTGTTGGTCGATCTACAACGACACAATGTCGACCGGCTGAAGCGGGTGTTTGAGCTAGAAGGCTGCCGACGTCTAGAACCTGATCGTCATATTCCAGCACTTATCGACGCAAAGGACCTCCAAAGTGCACTTGAATACACCGCAACCGACCATGTCACATCAGAAACTCTGCTCGATAATCCAGACGCACTACCTCCCCTCTTGAAGCTGCCATCGCATCTCTCCATACAATGCTTGCGAGGAAAGCATCGTGTTACCGCAGCCAAAGAGACGTCAGTGCTAGAAGCGACTGATAGGTGGTGGATCGTTGACCTGTACTCTGCTGGTAGGTCCATGTCGCTGCCAGCCGTAAGAGGACTCACTTGTATAGATCTAGGCGCGGAAGGCCAACGGGAGTTGGTCGAACAGTATTGCAACTCGCATAACTTCACAGACGGCTCGGTTTACATCAGGATTCTACGCTACCAAGCTAGTCGACAGGAGCTCGCCGAGAAGCAGTGGTGGGCACGATTGACGAAGAGCAAAAGAAACATACTGAAACGCTTCCTCCGACACCCGAGACTGGCGAGTGGCTTTGCAAAGTTATGCAAATTCGAAGCTCTACTAGTCCACGGATTCAGGATAGGAACTCTTTTAGAGATCATGAGCAGTAGGCTAGATGAGGTGAGCACTCGGCTATGATCCATCATCCATGGAATAAACTCACACCAGTAGGAAATATTGTGCTATCTGAACCACATATCCGCTATATGGTCGGCTATCATAGGTGGAGATTCAGAGCATAGGCACGCATTGGACAGTCAAACTGTGGCAAGCCTCCAGTCAAAAGCACCTGGCGTTTATTCTAGCGAATACTCAGCTTTGAGGCAGGATATCGAGCAAGGCACGATATTCTCCCTATTGAAACGGAGTAAAAATCAAGCCAAGATCTTGCAGAACATTATCACGATAATGTACCCAATCCCCACGCTCGTTACGCTTCGAAAAGATCTCAGGTACCTTGATGCCTGTGCTCGTGCGGTCAGACAAGCAGTCCTAGGACCAATGGCTCAGCTACAATCGAGTTTCTCCGAAGCAGTTCAGAAGTACTTTACCAATGTCAATCAAAAAGACGGCTACTTCTGTCTTCAACTGAGAGATTCGAGTGTCATATACTGTAAATCTTCAGCGAGCTATGGCCCGTTCGAGACCGGCTACCGCCAGCTTCATCTATACGCGATGCGTAATATTCTGCACCTGAACTCGAGCCTTCCTAGACAGCACAGGAGGTGTGCTAAACAAAGACGCAAGTAAGACCTCTTTGCGTGGGTAGCGTTTGGCGATCTAGCTTTCCAGCTCGGATTCGACTCCGAGGAGATCCAGAGGCTGCGAGCGCGGAACTTCCAGCGCGAACTGGTCGCTGCTATGCTCCCCAGTAGTCAATACGAAAATCTGGAGCCCGTCATTGATGACATCTTGCAGCGACTGAGGTCAGCGAAACGGAAAGCACCCTCTCCTGTTGAAGAGATATCAACTAATGCACATGACTCAGTCGAAGATCTAACTCTTCGCTGTGGCTGGATCACAGAGACCGATTATGAAGCCACTCGGCAACATCTTTACTTGAACATACTGGCTAGCGATGTTCCTGCACCCCAGCGTGCTATTTCCAGTCTCCAGGTTCGGAAACGAGTCTACGACTTGTTTTTTGGCACGCTCGACGTAGGACCTTGCTTCAGCCACGAGGCACAGGACGATAGCGCAATTGGCGCAGTAAGCATAGCACAGTCAGTGTACGACCCGAATAAGCGACGTAAGCTGTCTTCGGGCCTTGCTCAATCTGCTTCGTTGCCAGATTCCCAAGTTCCCCCAGCCCCAGAGCTTGTCGGGGGACAACGAGATACCATTTCTCAATCCATAGACCTGGCGGTACGTAACGACCGAGAATCCACGCTAGATCCAAAAAGCCGGTCAATCGAGAATGGCGCCCAGCAAGGCAGATTCCTACCACAAAAGGCCCATGCGGCCAGCCAGCGAACAGTAGAGGTGTGTGTGTTCAGTGACTCAAAATGGAATCGAAAGCGGTCAGAACTAGGCAGATCAGAATTAGAAGCTTTCGTGACGACTCTCCTTGACTCGGATGGAGATATGCATCTCTACGATGCGGATGGCTATGGCCTGACTGTTGGAAACTGCTTTGACAGCGCGAGCCGCCATTCTGATAAGACTGTGTATGTAGCGTCCAGAAATCTGGACCGCCATCTCTTGCCCCGCTACCATGTGATTGACGAAAATGAGGAGCTGTGAGGGCCTGCGCGAATGCGATTTACAACCAAACGAGAAGGAATACACACGGTTTCCATGCCAATGGACTCAACTTTTTATTAGACTGCCAAATGGGAATAGTATACAACAGCTGGCGTGTAAATTATTTGTAAAGCGTGATGCTTTCATGCTGAGTCCAAGCGGTGAACCCCCGAAATGGATCGAATATTACTAAAAGATTGACTAAAAGATAATCCCTTACGGAATGAAACTTGTAGTATAGAAAACATACCTTAAAGTATCCAAACTAATATGCTGAGCCATGACCGTACTGAGTCGGTATCACTGATTCGAGATCCATGCCCTTACTGAGCCATGACCAGTCTCTATCCAGCCTGTTCGGTCTATTTCGAATCCTCGCTTTCGGTTGTAATGATGCTACTTTTAGATTGCGTGATTGAATCTAAGCAATCGTCGTGCTGAGCTTTGAAGTAGGTGGAGCATACAATCACACTATTCTCGGTACCAGTCCGCGGGTATTTGTCCTGTCTTGTTCAAAGAGATGATTAATGATGCGAAAACCATTTCCTGCGATGTTGCAAGCGATGACACTGTCCGAGGGAAGTGGATGAGGCTAAAGAGATCCGAAGCCGAGGCTCTAGAAGCAAAATCACCAATGCAGTTCAAGGGGTTTAACAGTTCATCTGGAGACGGCAAAAGCACTAGATCGTCGCGAACACAGCTTGATTATAGCTCAATCACACACGACCGGACAGAATGGCCAGCGTTTCTTCCTTAGACATATGTTGCAGAGACTTGCCTGCTATCGTCGTGTACATTTCCTTATTCTCGTTATACTCTCTACACGTGACTTGTTCTAGGTTACCCTCATTCATCTTTCCGCTACATGCAAGGCCTGCATGCATGTCGCGTTCAGTCCGAAGTGAGCCTGGCAGCTTGCAGTATGTCCCGAATACATTTATAATCCATAGATAGCTCTGATAATATATAGTCTCCTGATAGCTCCTTGGTGTTGACTTTATATCTAGTATGCCACTCTTCAGCAGGCAATCATTGATCTTAATGTGACTATGTACTCACCTCAGCCAGCGGACCCCAGCAATCACATTATACTCCCTCAACAACATCGACAGATGACGGCCTAAAAGGCCAACCAATATTAAAGCGAAAGGCAAGCAATGAAGTCACGCTCGACTCGAATCAGTCAAAAAAAGCTAGCCACGTCATGCCAAGTTTGGTCCTCTCTCTTGTTTTGTTTGTGTTTAAAAAATCTTGGAGCCATATGCCCTGCTCACGATGGTGCGGCGGACTCAATGATGTCCTAATAACACGAGCACGAGCCTTGCATGGGAACATTTGGATTATTCATATTTTTTGTGTACAAGAGACGCAATGCATCGTCGTATTTGTCCGAGCTTGTACAACTTCCGCCTTTCTGCTATTCAAGAGCATGATCTCAGACCGGATCCACAAAGAACCGCAACCGCCTTTGTGTTATGCAAAGCCTGCCTCATTTGATCGTGACAGTCTATGCACAGGCTGATTATGGGACTCCTTCGAATTAAGAATTCTTCTCCAGATTCATCGAGAGAGTTTCTTTAAGTTTGACGTCTAACGAAACTATTTTCCAAATCCTATCAAAATCCGGTAGCGCGTAGTTGTGGGGACATAATCATCGCAGTCAATGTCTGATTTACCATTCCCTGTCTTCCGTTCAATTACATGGACCTAGTGGAGAAGAGTGACGAGATCTGGTCTTTGTCTTCTGATGCACGATAAGGTTAAATGTGTGTAACGAGTTGGTTGTTGTAGATGTCTAAGTCCGCGGCCGGGTTGACCGGGCTGATCTATGTAATGTCTTGGCAAGCGTAATCTGCAGTTGCGACAGATATATACGGCACTACTACAAGATATGATGCGGCTTGGAGCTTCGCATCAGAGCTGCTAGCTCTTAACACACGACGCTCCTCAACTTTTTCTCGTGTTGCAAGGTACTACCCTCTCTGTGGCTATCCGCATGATGTTCTACGGTCATGCCGCCGCATCGCATATTTCATGCCAGGAAAGGCTACAATGTGATCCGGCACTGGCTTTATCTTGTCCTTTGGAACTGAGCGGAGCTGATAGAGTTGTGCCTAAACCCAGGACTACCGGGAGACACTACATTCATGACCTACGATCACAGAGGGCTCCTATCTTCCTCTCTTCCGCCAGTGGTCAAGCGAATGTCTTCACACAGTGGAAGAGATCTCAGGTCTCAGCGCCAAAGTTTGGTATCTTCCAGGTATGGTCTATGTCTCTCTGCATTCTAATGACTCGAGAACGCACGTGCTATTTTTTGAGTCAAGCTGGGCGAGAGCATGATGATGGTGTAGTAGACTAATGGCTGAAACAGGCGCGCAGGGGTGTGATTACGAATGTCGAGTCGCTAGGTAAGCCGCCTGCTCTGTGGATGGAAGCGAATTCCACACTGATGTCCTGACAGCGACCAACATGGGATGGGGGATCGATGTCGATCGATGGACCCTACAACATCGAATGTACGCTTTGAAGACGTGGATCGCCTCACGTCGAATTCTCTGGCGAATATAAAGCCATGCCTGGCAGGCAAGCATGAGCCCAATATTTATATCCTTGAACTTGGTATAGCCTCCATTGAAACACGCACCCCCAGGCACGGCCCCTAGACACTAAAGCCGCACTATGGCATTTAAAGATTGGTGATGAGATTGCTATAATGAGTGACACAGGGCTCATTGTAATTACAACAGCTACTATCCTCACTTAATCTATATATTGTATTCCATTCCATAGATAATGCGGTATATCCAAGGAGGTCGACTTTGGTTCAACATGTACATACCAATTCGCATGTTTTCTTGAGCACCCTGATAGACAGAGAAGTGGTCTCGTGAGACTATTATCATAACGGCCCCATCCTTAGATCTATGCAGACACGCAGCACGGTGTTTAATCTAGAGCTGGAATCTTTTCCATATGCCCCGCTGGTATTGCATCTCCTTCAAACGGAA